ACTAAAAATAATGGCGCAAGCAGCGAGAACCTTCATTACCATATTGCCCTTTTGTCTTTTTTTTCTCCTGTTATCTTGGTTTGCAACTATTTTTCTCTACGACAAGCCAGGCTTGGAAATTCTGTCGGCGGCGATGCTGCTGGAAATGGCTCTTTTTGGAGGAAAAAAAAAAGCAGAACCCGCTCAGCAGCACCTTTTTGTGTCGTGATGGAGGGTACAGCTGCCTGGCTGCTGTTTCAGGTGTGTCACACACGCTTCAGCTTTGAGCTGACCTTCTCTCTGGGTCTCCTCAGCTGGAGGAGACATTTTTCCCTACGACAGATCTCAGACGTGGCCTTCCTTGTCCATCTGCTCAGCTAAATCCATCACTGCTCGGGCTGCCAGTGACTGCAGTGTTGATTTTGTAGTTATTTTCTCCCCCCTGGCCATGAGAAGTGAAATCTTGCCCTGACTGTATCAGGTGAAAGCAGTGCTGAGATTCTTCCTGTCCCGGATCCACAGCATCTCCTTTGGTCCTGCTGCTGGTTTCCCCATCAGTCTTGTCCCACTCAAGTCACACATCTTCACTTTGAAGCCCGGTAGGTCCCATTTCAGCTTCCCTGCTGTTTCCAATTCCCAATGTACTTTCTTCCTGAAGGACTTGTGATGCCACCTTCTATCCCTGACTCATCCCCTTTTCAAACTGCCCTGAGAAGCTGTGACAGCCCCGTCCCTGGAAGTGTCCAAGGCCAGGTTGGACAGGGTTTGGAGCAGCCTGGGCTAGTGGAAGGTGTTCCTGCCCATGGCAGGGGTGGCACTGGATTGTCTTGAAGGTCCCTTCCAACCCAACCCATTCTGTGATTCTGTGATCAAGTAATTCCACGTTTTCATGTGCAAAGTTATGCACATCCTTAGACCCTTTTCTTGGGCTTTCACCCTTTCACTCTTTCTCAGAAGGAATTTCTACTAGATGTAGACAGTGTTAATCGATTAAATTCCCAGAAACCCCTCTGAAAATCCTCTTGGCTGCTCAAAAAGCACTTGTAAACAATTACACTTCACGAGCTGCCTGTCGTGAGGGTGCGGATTTGCCTCAGTTTCCTTTTGTTTCACCACCTGTTTGCATCAGTTTGTTCTTCCTTATCTTTGTGTGCGTTATAAGAACATTGAGAAAAGAAACATCTTCCTTCTTTCTTTTGCTTTTTATTTTGTATTCTGCCAGCACTGCTGGGGTCTCCCCTCCTACATCAGTAGGACTAAATAAACCAGGTCAGGACATCACCTCCAGCGCCCTCCTGTGCCGGTGCACTTGGGGCTAATTGGTAGCACGTTCATTTGCAGGGTTTTGTTTCAGAACTAAGACTTCCCTGGGCACGGCCACGTGCTGGGGACCATCCCCAGATTGTGGTTTGGATGTGCTGAGAGCTGCCTGTTTGGAGGGGAGGACAAGATTTGGCCCTGAAGAGCTGCAGGTTGTGCTGTTGTTTCGGACCCAGAGGATCGGTGTGGTCTCTTTTATTTAGTACTACAGAGGTAGCCCGAGATGCCGGGGGTTACACAAATAAAATCAGATGCCTTTGATAGGTGTCAGCATTTTAATGAGGAATTAAATTAAGCCCTGGGTGCTCTGCCCATCTAATGGCACTATTTTTCCCTCGCTCGCTGCTTTTTTGTCGCTGTTCCCCCCCCCCCCCAATATTTTACGACAATTGCCTCAAGCCCTGATCTGGTGGGATTGTGCCAGATACCTGCACAGCTGGAAGCTCATCAGCCATTCAGATTCCTTCAGTCAGGATGTCAGTTTTATCACAAAACTCGCAAAGCTCACCGTGGTGATTTCCAATTTCCTCTTTAGTAGACATTTTGTTTGAATGCCATGAAGGGGCTCCTTCCCCGGAGCCCCCAGGAGCACAATAAGCTATGCTCTTTGAGAAGAGCCCAGATGACTACAAAGTTCCCTTCATTAAATTTTCTTTTCATGCTTTAGCATAGAATATTTCTTTTTTAAGGCTCCTCTCCCTCTCTCTGGTTTTCTTTTGTGTTTTCATCTTATTACCTTTATGAGGTTGTGTGATGCATCAGCTCAGTGGGAAAGGGGGGCGTGGGGCTCCCTCAGAGGAGGTTTATTCCAGCACACAGGAATATTTGAGGTGCTTGAGGAGCAGCTGGGGAAGGGGGAGCAGATCAAGTAATTGTAAACTTAATAAAAACACATCGCTCCTAACGTGCCATGTGGCTCAGGCTGCTGCTCATATTGACTTTTGCTTTCAGATTTCGGGTGTGTTGATTCTGTGAAGGAGTTATTGAGTTGCACTGAGTGGAGATGGAAATCTGTCAGCCTTCCCCGGCACTCCTGCTGCACTCCCACACTTCGTCTTTTTCCTTCGGTTTAGTTGTGAAATCCCCAAGCAATTAAACAAATAAATGCAGTCGTGGGGCAGAATCTTATTTATTGACAGCGACTTTTTACCCGGGCAGATAGTGGTTGGATGAGGGGAAACGGTTTTAAACTGAAAGAGAGGAGGTTTAGATTAGATATTAGGGAGAAATTCCTGGCTGGGAGGGTGGGGATGCCCTAGCCCAGGTTGCCCAGAGAAGCTGAGGCTTCCCCTGGATCCCTGGAAGTGTCCAAGGGCAGGCTGGGGCAAGCTGGGATAGTGGAACTCCCTGCCCATGGCAGGGGGTGGAATGAGATGCTCTTTAAGGTCCCTTCTAACCCAAACCATTCTATGATTCTGTGATGACACTTTCCCTGCCACATGTCCCAAAATACAGATCTCCCTCCCTCAGAATGTGAGATAGTTCAGGGAAGGGAATTCCTGCTCCAAGCAGGGTCAGCTCTGGCACCAGACCCAGTTTCTTTATCGGGTATTTAAAACCTCCACATTTTACAATAGATGCCAGATAATTTCTGGGTTTGCACTGTTTGCCTTTTCTTACAGGTTTTTTCTTCAGTCAAACCCCACACACCCTTAAATGCTTCTGTAAAATGACCCTTATTCATAGAACCACCCAATGGTTTGGGTTGGAAGGGACCTTAAAGATCATCTCATTCCACCCTCTGCAATGATCAGGGACACCTTCCACTATCCCAGGTTGCTCCAAGCCCTGTCCAACCTGGCCTTGAACACTTCCAGGGATCCAGGGGCAGCCACAGCTTCTCTGGGCAACCTGGGCCAGGGTGTCCTCAGCTTCACAGAGAACAATTTCTCCCTGATATCCAGTCTAAGGATTAATTGATGTAATCATAGGGACTTGAGGAAGTTCCTGTTAGGGAGATATTCCATTCCCCTTTGAGGAGTTTCCCTGGTTTTGGCTGTTTCTGACCATCCACCTGAGAGTCCTGTGATCCGTCACCAGCGGGAATCAACGGCAAAGCCTTTGGTGGGGTCACCCTAAAGCACGAGGGAACCTTCTTTCCCCAAGGGTTGATCCAGCAGCACGTGGTTTCTGGCCATCCAATGCCAGGAAATAATCTCATGGAGTGCTTTCCCAAAAGTGCAAGTGGTGCATTAGGGGGGTGTAACAAGCCCAGCTCGGATTGATACGGAGACGGCGCTCGCCCTCGACGGGGTGATCCAGGAAAATGGGCTGAGCTGACTTGGAAGGAAATGGACTTGCTCACTTTGACTTGCACCAGGTCTGCAGTGCCTGGAAAGGACAGGGCTGAGAGCACATTCCCAAAAATCACCCAGGAAGAGTCACAGTATGAAAACAAGTGACTGAGGGGCAGCAGACGATGTGTCTTAGGGGGCTCTGATATGTTGGCAATGTACAGAATCCATGGAAGCATTCAAGTAAGGGATAATAAGTGGATTTTGGTCACTAGTGAGAAAAAAGCAATTGAAAAAGCTCTTTAACGTGGGTCAGAGAGTCTCCCATTGAAATTGCTCTAAACACATCAACAGAACTTATGTAGCAATTGCACAGCAGCTCATTCCCTTCGCACTTTTATGTAAGAAGTCACTTTAAAATCACTTGTGGATAAAGGCACAGCAAGGTTTACTCTGGGTATTTTTTGTTAACTCGTGGTTTATTGTACTGGTTTATCAGTTCAGACCAGGTTTTTGGGTGTTTAAAACGAGCTCTGGTTCAGTTGGGTCTAAATCATCACCACTGGGAGTGTTATGTCTGCAGAGAGTCTACGTGGTGCTTCCCCTCTCGTTCTCCACCCCAGCACAGACCTTGCCATCACCACTGTGTGTGCAGCAGCGTGTGGTTGTACATTCTGATGCCTCCCAGGCTTTTGAAGTGCGTGCTGATATCAGCAGAGGGGGGATTAAGGGAAAATCCTCCTCCGTAAGAGCCGACAGAAGTCTGAACTCGGAGATGGTGCGGTGTGTGAGCACCTGGGAGCGCATTTAAATTCTGCTTTAGGCCTTTCACAGGTGTAGGGTAATGAAGGAAAAGAGAAAGGGGGATGTTTTTTATAGGTACATACTGTAAAATCAAGGTGACTTAACATTGCTTTCTTCTAGCAGAACGTCTCGAGTGATTGTCAGGAAGTCACTTGCCCTAAGGAGCAGCGTTTGTGCTTCATGTTTCATTTCCTTATCGTGGTAAAATAGATCTGCCTTGGCCAATCAGCAAAATAAGGCTCAGAATCACAGAATGGTTGGGGTTGGAAGGGATCTTAAAGCCCATCCAGTTCCAAACCCCCTGCCATGGGCAGGTTCACCTTCCATTATTCCGGGTTGATCCAAGCCCTGTCCAACCTGGACTTGAGCACTTCCAAAGAAAGAAATTCTTCCCTGTGAGGGTGGTGAGGCCCTGGCCCAGGTTGCCCAGAGAAGCTGTGGCTGCCCCTGGATCCCTGGAAGTGTCCAAGGCCAGGTTGGACGGGGCTTGGAGCAACCTGGGATAGCGTTGGGGTTGGAAGTGGATGATCTTTAACGTCCCTTCCCACCCAAACCTGTCTATGAATCTATAATAATAATAATAATTTAAAAAAAAAAAGAGTTATGTCTTTGCTGAAATCCTTTTGAGCAGGAATCCCTGAAGTTCTTTTCTCTGTTCCCCAGGAGATACGAGTCTCACCCCGTCTGCGCTGACCTGCAGGATAAAATCCTCCAGTGTTACCGACAACACGCTCGGGAGACCCTGAGCTGCTCTGCCCTGGCCAACCAGTACCTGCGCTGTGTCAACCACGCCAAACAGGTGAGCTGGGCACTGGAGAAACAGGGAATGGTGGAGAGAAGGGAGACTGTTGGATTATAAGCATTTCCCAGTCTGTGTGTTCTCACAAACTCCGTGGAGACCGCTTGGACTTCGTTGAGCTGCTCAGGTTTCCATCCCTTCCCTTGGGAAGCTGTTGTTTAGTTGTAGGAGCTGGTGCTGTTGGCAGATGTTTCCTGCTACCTGCAGTTTTAGCAGTAAAAACAAGGGGGGTTAAACTACGTGGTACTAGTTGTGAGAAATTAATGGATGTCCCAGGGATGGGTCACCAGTTGGAATTCTTCCCTTCTCCTGTTTTATGTTTTCCAAGGGTCTGATACTGCCCTTTACCTGGTCTTGGCCTCCTCTGTTCCATCTTTTTAGGGCATGCAGATTAAAACCTTTATGCTTTATTAGTGCGACATAAAGGAAGTGATAGTAATATGCACAAAATATATTAAAAGGAAGCTAAAATTTTGTCGTGGTTTGAGACCCCCAAAAATCCAATTTCCAAGTCCAATTCCCCCCCCCACAACTCACCCCAGTGTGACAGGGGTTTTCCAGACACAACACAAGACTCAATATGGGGATAAGGGAATTATATTACAATTATTACACAAATAAATATTATAATACGTTATAAACACAATCCTAACTATCTCTCCTATGGTAAAGCAATATTTACATTGGATCAGGTCTCTTCTCCCTCCAATAAAAGTCCAGAGGGGAAGAAGGAAAGATCCTTCTTTTAGATTTAGATTTACTATTTAGATTTCTAAATGCTCTTCTTTTTCCCCAGCTTGCATCTCTTGAACACAGAGATGCATGTGTTGACCTCAGCCGTGTTCTCAAACAAGGCAGTTGGAAAAGTGCTCGCAGAGCATATGCAGGATGTGTAAAAAGGGCTTAAAGAAGTCTGTTGATCTTTATTCCTGCTAAAACCTGTGAGTTAATATTTGAAGACGTGCAGGCACACGTTCTAACGTGTCAGCAGAGACCCAGGGAGCACGGCTGGTGTTTGAGCCTGGTAATAGTTGTCGCCGGACTTGATTCTGCCCGTGCAGAAAAGCAGCGAGGCTTTGGCTGGGGTGGCTCTCTGTGACCTCTCTGCTGTCACACTGCTGCAGTCCTGCGTTCCTGGCAAAAAGGATTCCCAAAATCCTGCCGGAGTTAAACACTGCTCGTGTTCTGCTGGTGTCCGAGGCGTGGGAGGAGGCAGCGGCGGTGGGGAAGTGCCAAAGCTGTTCCTCAGCCAGGGGGGTCACCCTGTCCCATTCAAAGTCACCTCCTTTAATTAATCCTTGGGGATATTTGTTGTCCCATCCCTGGAAGTGTCCAAGGCCACGTTGGATAAGGCTTGGAGCAACGTGGTTTAGTGGAAGGTGTCCCTGCCCGTGGCGGGGGGTGGGACTGGATGGGTTTTTGTTCTCTTCCAACCCAAACCATTCTGGGATCCTATTCCTGCCCATTTTTTAATGCACCAGGCTCCTTTTTTTTTTAGGGAAAAGGCCAGTGAATAATATTAGAATCATGGAATCACTTAGGTTGGAAAATATCCCTGAGACCATCGAGTCCAGCCATTCCTCCAGCACTGCCAAGGCCACCACTGACCCCTGTCCCCAAGTGCCACATCCACACTTTCAGATCCCTCCAGGGGTGGGGACTCCACCACTGCCCTGGGCAGCTTGTTCCAATGCCTGACCACCCTTTCCATGAAGAAATATTCCCTAATATCCAATCTAAACCTCTCCTGGCCCAACTTGAGGCCGTTTCCTTGTGTCACCTGTTACTATATATCAGTTTGTTAAGTGGTGGATTAGATTTTCACTGCATTTTCCAGCATCTGCAACACTTAATTGCCTGCATTTATAATTTTGTATCGTTTCTTTTAAAGTAACTAAAAGAAATTGGATTAATTACTGATACATGTTTAAGCTCTTAACTAGAGTTTGTATCTGATAGGAATTTTCTTCAGAAGGCTGTGATGAGGAGGAATTAATTCACGTTCAGGAGGTGCAATAAAAAGGAAATTGCATAAATATGAGCATTAGGTTTTTGAACCCTTCCAAACACCTTTCTTGTTGAAGATCTTTAAGCAAGCCTGTCAAGTAGTTAAAAGTGTTTCCTAAATGTTTCTTATTCTGTTTCACACGTGCTTCAAGATGAGAATTGAGAGGGTTTCTCTTATGATAACAGAGAAGGAGAAGCCTTTTGTGATGGAAATATTTGCAAGCAGGAGCAATTGTTTTTCATAATAAGCATCATTCCTCTCTGGCTCATCCTCCCCGTGCTGCAGCTGTAATTGTAATTATTTTCACTCTGTTTGCCCACAAGTCCGGGCAGTTACTTGGAAAATAATTCCTGAGCACTGTTATAAAATACTTCAAAATTACCTTCCCTTGGTTGGGAGCCAGGGGAGGGGGATAAATTGCAGGTTCAGGAATGAAAAAGTTAACTGGCACTGGCTTACAAGAAACAAAGGAAGAGGAAAATTTGCTAGAGGGAATAGAGCAAGATATTGAAAACCAAATAAGTTACTAATCCGATTTCCTGGCGGTGAGTCTGGGCACTTGTGCTCAGGCTGAGCACACTCTGTGCTTTTCATAAATTGAATTTATTGACTCCTCTTTCTTCCCTATCTTGCTTATAATTATCTCCCCCTTCTCTTCTGTGTGCTCCTTATTTCTCATCCTGTCTGTAATCTCATGTCTCTATCTGTCCTTTTCTCCCCTTCTTAGAAAAGCCCAGGGAATTGTTAATTCAGGGGAGTTTGACACATTGTTGTATCTTCCCTTGAAATCTTTTCCCAAAGTCATGAGAAGCCAGCGAGATGAATTAAACTCCATTATTAATGTTTGCATTTTATTATAATAGCAATGGAGAGGAAAACTCACCTAATGGAGCCATTAAGGGGAAGATATTAGGATTGTATGTGGCATTTATTTGTGCTGCCAGGGCTGAATTATCTCCACCCAGACCAGTCACTGCACTAATATGGACCATCCAGGGGCATTTTAATCACTTATCCCAGTTTTCCAGCCACTGATATGGACAATGTGGCTGTTCAAATGCACATTTTATGGTTTGTTCGGGTTTTTTTTTTAATATTCCCCCACTCTGGGCTACAAGATGTTCTAATTCTTACATAAAAACAAAACTGGTTTATGGTTTAATGAATCTGTGCAGTAATTTCCTATAAAACCATTGAATGTCAGAGGGATACAAGTCTCTCTGCAGGCAGGTGAGATTTAAAAATACTTCAAGGAGTGATACCAACAGCTTCTGGTGCCTGACAGCCTGGCTAAAAAACTTTATCCTTCAGCCTTGTAACCAGTATTTGAATTTTTGGGGTGGAGGGATCCTTTATCATGCACCCTAATCAGAATAAACCCAGGATTTTAGCCTCATCCTCCAGTATTTTTAATGGATACCACTGTCCAATCAAGTAGAAAAATGCATGAAATTAGTGTGAGCTGAAATGCCACGAAAAGGCCTTGATTTTTCATGGCCCTCATTTAACACAGCCCTAATTAAAGGAGGTTTATTGTGGACCAGGTTCCCTCCACGGTGTTACGAAAAAACCCAAGGAAAATGCCTTGAATACATTAATTTGTTAGGTGGTGTTAAATGGCAAGGGTCAGTAAAGAACACTAAACCCCCCCAAAAAATACAGATAAAGCCCTGGAACACTCCCGTTTGTCTGAAGATGAAATTTTCTGGGCAGAAATCTGCGTGTGATGAACAAATACCTGAGATTTCTTTCCTCAGGACACCAAAGAAAAGTAGCACATTTTTTCCTCGGATCCCCTGGGAATTTCCTACGTTAACTTGTGCGGTGTTAAACTGATGGGAAGTCAATGTTCAGCCCAGCAATTCTGTCATACCAGTGCAAAAAGAACCTTCCAGGTAAAGGAGCCTCCCTCAGTCCTACAGGAATCTCCACAGGGATGCCATCGAGCTGAGATTGGGGGTTTTGTTAACTAATGAAACTTTCCCATGTTTTTTCCTATAATCCAGTCCAAGTGCACCCCTTATCCCTTGCAGGAGCACTGCTGGATCCAGTAGAATGGTTTACAGGGTTATTTTTTTAGGAATACCATGAGAATTTGGTTGACACACGTGACAAGTGGTTTTTCATTCCCTTTAGTTTTGGTTTTCCCAAGCCCTAATTCCCATGACTGTGCCAGTGCAGTCCAGACTCACAAGAGGATGTGCCCTGTGTGGCCACAGAATGTTGCTCAGACACTTGAATCAGCTGTTTGTGGGTCTCCTGTGAGATTTCAAGGTTTAAATTTGGGCTTGTTCCTGACACAAACCCCAGGGATTATCAAATCCCTACCATTTCTAACAAGGGGATTCATAATTCCTGTCTTCCTTGTTTTATGGATTTGGTAGGGTAGAACAAAGTTTGCCTTCGTCAATCTTGGAGTCCTGTAGTGAACAGAGATGTTCTCCAGCAGGTCTTTGTGTCTGGTCTGTTAGATCATGGAATCTTGGAATGGTTTGGGTTGGAAGGGTCCTTTCCAAGTCCTCTATTCCAACCCCTTGCCATGGGCAGGGACACCTTCCAGCAGACCAGGTTTCCTGTCCCTGGAAGTGTCCAAGGCCAGGTTGGAGCAACCTGGTCTAGTGGAAGGTGTCCCTGCCCATGGCAGGGGGGTTGGAACTAAAGGATCTTTTAGTTCCCTTCCAACCATTCCATGATCCGTGGTTCTCTAATGAAGCCCAAGATCCAGGATACATTTCCCCCAGGCTGGACTTGCTGGGAATGGGATTTATCTTATTGTAAGGTCAGATGGTTTAATTTCCTTCACAGCCACAGCACCAGAGCCATGACAGCATGAGGAGGGATGGAAAGGGATCATTCCTGCCACTCCTCAGGCCTCCAAAATCCCTGCCCCGTCAAGTCCTCAAACAGCTTTGTTCTTCTGCTGTGACCTGTCCCCATCAGGGTGTGTTTGCCCACAATGTTCCTTGTTCTGTATTTTTATTTAAAAGAATTGCAAATCCCAGGAAGGAATTGTAGCCAAACTTCAGGGAATAACTTGGAGTTACTGAACTAACGTTTCTCCCTCTCTCTTCCCCTCCCCTGTGACCCTTTCTGCAGCAGAGCATGCTCGGGAGAGGAGGATAAAGGCACTGTCCAAACCAAGCACAAGACCATCAACTAATTTCAGCAGAAGAGCTTCTTTTTTTTTTTTTTTTTTCGCCCCAAGAATGATATGACAGCCCATTTGCAGGGCACACCAGTAAAGGGAAGAACTGGAAGAGCCATTTGAAGAGCAGGAGCCATCAGGGCTCAATCAACGTGACCATTTGAAAAGCCAAGACCTGGATCTTATTACGTCCGAAATCGCGCGTCCGAAGATGCTGTTCCCTCTTAGCAAAGCCCACTTATTGGTGATTGAAGGAAGGGAGAAGAAAAGAACCTTTCACTGACATTAGAAAGGGGAAATATCCTTCAAATGCTGCTGTTTCATTGTGGAATCTCCTCAAACACGTCTCGCTGGCAAGGGCACAGGGGTTTGTAACTCTTGGAGCACCGGGACGTGGCGGTTCTCTGCGAGCGACTCGGGGCTTTCCTTGCAGTGTGTGATTGTCAATTGTGCTTTAAATTATTTCACAAATTATGTAACTTAATGAAGCCTCTCTCTCCAGGCCTTCTGCTGGAATGGTGTTAATGATCCAGCGCTTCAGGTGTGACAATGGCCTTTATTTACGGGAGGTGGTTCTGTCGTGCTCCTCACTCGTATCAAGAGCTGACAGACATGCCTCGCTCTGTACCAACAATAAATCTATTTTATGCACAAGATTGAGGCTGCAGTCTGTCTCTCTTCCCACCTCTTGAAAGCTGATGGTGTTCCCTCTTCTGTGTCAGTCGTGGTTTTCCAGCAGATGTTGTTGCTGGAGCTTTAAAGCACAGACTTTGATGCAGGACCAGCCTTGGTCTCGGGAGCGGTGCTTGCACGGGACTGTTTGCCATCACAGCAACCTAAAAGGGATCCCACAGGATGGTGTGTTGTGATTTATCCACCACTTGCCTTCTTGGGAAGTCCTTGTGAATGCAGCACCACAACCTTTTGTTGCCCAGAGAGGTTGTGGACTCCCCATCCCTGGAAGTGTCCAAGGCCGGGTTGGATGTACTTGGAGCAACCTGGGATAGTGGAAGGTGTCCCTGCCCGTGGCAGGGGGTGGGACTGAGTGGGCTTTAAGGTCCCTACAATCCAAACCGTTCTGGGATTCTATGAAAGGACACAGAGCCCCTAAAACTGCAACCCAGCTTCCTGCAAGCACCCAGTTTTTGTTCAGACAACAACTGTCACATTCACTGTACCAAGCAATCTTAGAAATTACTTTTTACACAGCAGTAAAAGTAATAACATCGAAGGAGCAACGTGGCCAGAGCCTTCTGCTATTTATTTACCTGCTCTGCTCCTCTAATTGGCTGTGTTGGAACCACATCCTTCTGAACAAGTGCGAGTGCACTTGTGGGTCTCATTTATTATTCATTCAAAATATTACCGGTGACTCTCCTAATTATCAAGATGCTCTGCGAGTGCTGTTTAATTAAGGTTTTATTTTATTTTTTTTTTTTAATGCTACAAAAAGAAGCTGGGCTTTTTATTACGTGTGGAGCAACTGCAGTATCAGTAGGAGAGGGGGATCCTGGAGTTCAGCTTCAGGTGCCAGGTGAACTGCTGGAGAGAAAGGATGGGGACACAAGCAGCATGTTTACACAGCGACTTGCTGTAGCGTTTACAAATCAGCTAACTCACAAATTCTTCTCTGTAATGTTCTCTTCTGTAATGGAGAGCCAAGAAGTTGGCAGACCCATGCTTGCCAGACTTAGAATTTGGCAGAGGAACGCAGCACAGAGGAAAAAGCAGACGTTTTCCAGGCCAGATGATTCTGTAGAACTGGGAGTGTCGGGAAGGAAGGTCTCTGTTGCTGCCAAATGTTTCTTGGTTTCCCGTCCTGACAGCCCTGAGCAGTGGCAGTCAGTCCTGCTTGCTTTGTTCCAACTGTGTTTCGGGCTTCACTGGAGATGTTGTGTTCTTTAAACATCCTCTGTGGTGGTGGTGGCGGCGTCTCCAGCGCGTGTGGCTGGAGCTGGGGGGATGCTGGTGGTGGCAGACGGGGTGTGGATGTGAAAACTCTCCGTGTTGTGGCCAACTTCTGCCTTTAAATCACAGCAGCAGTTCTGGGCCCTTCACTTCGAGGAAGACATTGAGGTTCTGGAGCGTGTCCAGAGAAGGGCGGTGAAGCTGGGGAGGAGTGTGGAGAGTTGGTCACAGGAGGAGAGGCTGAGGGAGCTGGGGGGGCTCAGCCTGGAGAAAAGGAGGTTCAGGGGGACCTTAGTTCACTCTACAAGTCCCTGACAGGAGAGGGGAGCCAAGGGAGGTCAGGCTCTGCTCCCAGGGAACAAGGGACAGGATTAGAGGAAACGGCCTCAAGCTGTGCCAGGGGAGATACAGGTTGGACATCAGCAGGAATTTCTCCATGGAAAGGGTTGTCAGGTCTTGGCAGGGGCTACCCAGGGAGGTTTGGAGTCCCCACCCCTGGAGGTGTCCAAGGAAGGCCTGGCTGTGGCACTCAGTGCTCTGGGCTGGGGGACAAGGTGGGCTCTGTGATCTCAGGGATCTTTTCCAACCTCAATGGTTCTGGGAATGTTTCTGGAGTGAGCTTCAGTTCACCACCTTGTCTGCCTTTGCCACCTCTACCTCTGTGTCCCTGCATCCTTGTCCTTTTGTCTGTCTTTGGCTTCCTACTCCTCCCCAGTTGCTGGTTAGGGGCACCGAAATCTTAAAAAAAACCCCAAGAAAATGCGAGGATTTTAAATATGGAAAACCTTTGGAGTGGCTTCCCAGCTCCTCAAAAATAACCAGCTCTAAGATTGCACACTGCCAGAGTGAGCATTTGAACTCAGCCTGGTGGATGCTGCTCTCAGAAGGGATGATGGGGTTGATATCCCCAGGGATGACAGACGAGGGCACCTGCCCATGGCAGGGAATAATTTCAGATGTTCTCCTTGGTCATTCACGAGCTCTGATCAGCTGTAAGCAAAGGGCGTTGTTACCCAGGGGTTTAAATGGAAAAGCAGGATTGTAACAGCTAAATCAAAGCTTTTCATTGTTCTTTGCTCAGCGGCTGTGGAACAAATCACAGAGCTTTCAGTGGTGTCACAATAATCACTGCTCTGCCACTCTCGTGTCGTTTGGCAGCGTTAAGACTCCTTCAGACTCCAGACTCCCTTTCCTCAGGAGTCCTGTGTGTCTGACACACTTCACATCACCTGGCAGAGCTGGCTTTGGGCTTTTTCACCCTATCCCTGCATTACAGTTTTTAGCAGACACTTGGAATTAGCTTTTCCAAGTGGAAGTGGCTGTGGGTTGGGATGAATGTTACAGCTCAGCTGGTCACTGCTTTGTCCTCTTCTAGATCCTGTGCCCTTCTTGAGAGAATGTAAAGAGGCAAGTGTGGTTTCAGGTGGGGTTACATGTCATCTCTCAAGCTGAGGAGGTGATGGGTGGGGCTCTGGGCACCCTGCTCTAGTGGAAGGTGTCCCTGCCCATGGCAGGGGCTTGGAACTGGATGATCTTTAAGGTCCCACCCAACCCAACCCATTCTGTGATTCTGTGATCCTTTCCTATCCTTTTTTTGTCCTTCCCAAAGTAATTAATTCCAGACAATATGCTCTGCAAACAATTTCAGGAGCTTCCTCCCAGCTGTGGAGTTTGGGAAAGGCAAAATGATGATTTCCAATGTTTTCTTTGTGTGCACCTTTGCCCCATCCCTGGAAGTGTTCAAGGCCTGGCTGGCTGGGGCTTGGAGCAACCTGATCTGGCTGAAGACATCCCTTCCCATGGCAGGGAGGTTGGACCAGATGACCTCTAAAAGTCATCCCAACACAAATTATTCCTGATTCTGTGATCTTTCTCCTCTGTGAGCACCCACAGATCCCAGACCAACACCAGCTGTTGATCACAGCAGGTCCCTCTGGCACAGAGCGAGGCCCCCTTGCTTCCCGAGCAGCAGGGACAGAGAGACTGGAGGGATGCAAAGTTTCTTGCCCAGCATGTCAAATCTCATTTGCAAGACCCAGAAACCATCAGATGTTTGTCCCACCAGATGACAACAAACTGCAGCTCCCCTGCCCAGGGTCAGTCCTGCTTGATAGAGGGGTGGGCGCTGCCAGATAAAACCAGACGAGGGTTTAGATTTGGGTGTCTTTGCACTTGGAGGCCAACAGCTGCAGGTGGGAATTTTGCAACCTGGTCAGTCCTTAATTTGCACAATTTGTGTTGGGCTGACACTGTTTTGGAAGGTGGCTGAAGACACAGGAGAGGGGACGTGGAAGGAGAGAGCGAGAGAGGGTGTGTGCAAGGCGGGCTCTGTCCTGCAGCCAGGAGAGTCCTTTCCGTGTTCAGCCTCTTCCATCTCTTCCTTGGAAACCCTCTGCAGGTCAGGACCTGCACTAATGACACCAATTGTGTTCCTGCTTTACACACAGTGCCTTCCTGAGGAGCTGGGGGCTGTTTCCAGGGCTCAGCACCCGCTGTCACACTGAAGTTCAGGAGAGCAGTGAGTGACTCCCAGACCCGTCCCTGGAGAGCCTGAGGCAAGATTCAAGTAAAGGTCTGGAAAATGAAAAGGGAATAAGGTTGGAGAAGTGAAGCACGTTGACAGTGATGTTCCAGCTGGGTTTGGCTGGGTGAACACCAGCTCTCTGTTGGAGAGGAACGTCTGTCATCTCAACTCTCCTTCCAGGTTGCTCTCAGCTGCTGTTCCCATCGTGGGGAGAGGCGTCCAACAGGGCCTGGGGGCAAGTCCACCTTTAATTTGATGATCAGCATTCACCAGCAGAGGAGCTGGAGCAGAATCCAGCCCTCCCCGGGGAAGAGGGAGATTCCCTGGCCGTGGTCTGAGAGGACCAAGGTGTGAAGGGGACCTGGGCCTTCAAGCCATTGCTTGAGGTTCCCCCAGAACAGGAGGCACCGAGCCAGGGCTGCTCTGCAAGGATTTCGGCTCCACGTGAACAAAGACACCGGGTAATTAGAGAGGTAATTAGTTTGGTAATTACTAAGGTAATTAGTTCGATTCTCTCTCAAGCCAGTAACTGCTGGGAAGAGAAGGCTCAGCCCATGGTGCTGGAGGGAGCACCTCAAATTGCTGCAGCAGCCCCCTGCCAGGTGAGCCCTTCCCCCTCCTGGGCGGGGAGCAGCCTCCTTCACTGCTGAAAATGGGATGATCTGGAGGAAAAATAACCCTGAAAACACCGTTTGGCAGAGGTCTTTTGTGCCCAAAAGCTTTTGAGCCACCACCTGGTGACATCCAGAAGTGCTTGTGCCACGGTCAGGGCAGGACCTGAGGCAGCAGATCAGCCCGTGGTGATGTATTTATTGCAAAGATTTTATATTCCCTTAAGACTGCTGGGGGCACCTTTTGGGTGGGGACGCTCCTTGGGTAACCATTTTAAAGTGTCCCCACTTGGGAGATGAGGTTTGATCCCCTCCTGATTTGATCCCACACACCCCTTCACCCCCGGGCATTTCATGGAATCAGTGGAGGCATTTCATGGAATCAGAGAATGGTTTGGGTGGGAAGGGACCTTAAAGACCATCCAGTCCCAACCCCCTGCCATGGGCAGGGACACCTTCCACCAGACCAGGTTGCTCAGAGCCCCAACCCAGCCTTAGAACCATTTCTACCAGCTTGGGGTGCACGTCAGCACCCGGAGGTGAGTTTTTTCTGCTCGTGTGTCACATGAAACCACGGATATTTTCTGACCACCCTACGCAGGGAAACCATCCCTCCTTCCTGGGCAAGTCCCGTGGGTGGGCAGGGGCAGAGCAGCTGTCCCTGTGATCCCAAAGTGAGGGCTGACAGCACAGATCAAGCTGCAAGTGCTCGTTTGGGAGGCTGGAGCTGGCAGGAAGCAGATCGAATTCCCAAGTAAACTGCAAGCTAAGCAGGTTCTTCTCCATGTTCATCTGTTGCTGATATAGAAATAGCAGGGCTGGGAGGGACTTGGCACATCTTGGAGTCCATTTCACTATTTAATAAAAGCTGATATCAAGCAATTCTCGTGTTCCTTAAACCAGCTCCTCCTCTTGCAACGTTGTTCACACGTTTATTTAATTGTGGTGCAGGGATTAGATCTGCAAAGGGTTAGTGGGTGAAGTACAGTGGGAGCAAGGACATGATGTGCTGAAGATCCATTAATAGACAGGAACCATTTTTGCCAGACATGAGAACTGAGTGTATCTTTCTTCTGTTTGTTATGTCAGGTAGTGAGGGATTTTTTTTTCCCCCTCTCAGTTTTAATATTATTAACACTTGGGCTGTTTTGAAAAGGTCAAAGTCAGCTTGAATGTCTTCTAATCTGACTCTTCTTAAAAAGCAAGCAAACAAGAAATCCATATCCCACCGTGGCTGCCTTTAAACAGCAGAGCTGGTGTCCTGTAAAGGTGTTTGCAGAG